TAAATAAGTCCTTGGACAATTTTTGGAACAAATAAGTCATTGAACAATCMAAAACATGTTAAATAACTTTTTGAAAAAAATAAAGTGGTAAAATARTGAAAAAAATCCGGAAAAAAAAACCCAATGAACATTCATATTTTGAACGATTAAGCCCCTAAATATTTTTTCAACCAAAAAGTATTTAGATCTATAAAATTAAACAAATATAACAAAAAGTACTTACATTTACAAAAAAATAATTACCATTTTAACTAGTTGTACAAGTCATAAGAATGTATCCAACATGTTCTATAAAAGTTCAAGAAGTTATTTAACATGTTTTGGATTGTTCAAGGACTTATTTGTTCCAAAAATTGTCCAAGGACTTATTTAACATATTTTAGAATGTCCAATGACTTATTTGTGTCAAAAAATTGTCCAAGGACTTATTTAACATGTTTTGGAAAGTTCAAGGACTTATTTGTTCCAAAAAAAAGTTCAAGGACTTATTTGTTCCAAAAAAAAGTTCAAGGACTTAATCATTCCAAACAAGAAAGTTCATTGGTTTTTATTGTACTTTTCCCATATAAATAACAATTTGCTTTTATTTAGGTCGCAATTCATCTCATTTTTGTATTTGAGATCTCAGTCTTTTTCTCTCTCTAACAAACCCCCTCCAACAAAGGCTAGATGGATATAAATTGTCCTTAAAGTGTCAAGAGAGTTTTTTTGGAGAGTAATCAGATATGTAAATGAGGTTTTGCATATTCTCACATGGTATCGAAGTCAAGATCTACTACTCAAGGGATTTGACACTCTGGGCAATCTTCCAATCTATACTCATCTCGCTCGCTTTGGACACTCTGGGGCAATCTATACCCGTTAACCTTTGTTGGAAGGGGCGTGTTAGAGTCCCGCATAAGACACTTTTGAAATGTAACATGAAGGTTTCATGTGTTCTTGTGGAGATGAAGTAGTATTACCGCATTGTTGTTCAAATCTAGTTGTTTTTATTGATGTTTATGGAAACCTTAATATCTTTAAGAACGTTCAAATTTTTGAATTTCTTGTAGCATCTTTGTTCGAATTATATAATTTTAACACGTGTATCGATTTGTAAAATAAGATCATCCACGTTCATACAAATAGAACATTAAGATTAAGGTTCTTAATCACATGAGGTTTGGTATGGTGGAGGCTTAGAAGCCATAGCCAGACCACAACGTTTTGTAATGAGTGGCTTATGACAGCAAATCTCAATATCATATATAATATTATATAAACATATTTTTTCATGCTATTATTCAATGAGTTCATGATATTAAACCATTTAAATTATGTTATATATTAAAACTTATCTATTAAGACATTAAAAAAGTAAGAAAAATCAAATATCACGTTACAAAAACCGTGCATTAGGCCATAACATGACACATGCTTAACGTGACGTTATACATAAATCTTAAGACATAACGTACCATAACGACCGTTGCGACAAGCACTTTAAAATACCATATAAAATACATCTTGTACAAATGGGTTCTATTGACGTGTCAACAAATAAATTTATAACTTCTGATTTATGTTTTTATGATTCATAATTTAATCAAAAATACCAAATATGATACATTTATTACAATTTAGTACCCATTAAAATAATAAATTATAAGTGACAAATTAATAATTTTTTTATTTGTAATTCAATCATAAATAAAATATTTTTAAATAACATGTCATATAACTAAATATATAAAATAATTAATCACCTACAATAAATTAACAATATTAATTAGTTTAATAAAATAAAATAAAATAAAATGATCTTGAGTCGATTAGATCTTGAGTCGATTTGTAAAATGTCTTTATTAAATAATTTTATTTAAATATTTAATAATAAAATAAAAAAGATTTTATATTTATTAAATTGAAATAAATGTATTCTTAAACGAAAAGAATAAACCGATTCATCAATCAAATTGAGATGGAATTTTAGAGGCCGTTTATCAAACACTTACCCGGTAAACGTTTACCAGTAAGATTTAACACTGTCATTTATTTACCGGGTAAGATTTTAGTCCACTAAAATAACATCGTATGCAACGATTCACCCGGTAAGCGCTTACCGTGGTAAGAGTCGTCGCCCTCACTTATCGGGTAAGACTCTTAGTCCTTGTCTCATTCTTACGAGGTAAGATTCTTAGTCCTTATCATATTCATCCCGTAAACTAATGTGACTTAGTAAACGCTTATCCAGGTAAACATTTGATAAACGACCCCTTAGTCGTTGCAAATGATTATTTTAACTTTGTACTCATTCTTGTTGAATGAAAATTTCAACTGAATTTTTCTTAATATATGAAGAAAAATATAATCAAAATGAAATGTAATTTGTGTCGGTTTCCATTTTGATTGCCGTAAAAATTCAGTTATTTACCAAAGGGCCTTTGGCCTAGCGGTATCGTAGCCCTTGGCCTTTTAGGAGGTCAGGGGTTCAAACCTCACCATAGGTGAGGAGGGTGTGTGAGTTTATTTATTGCATTTACCGTATATAAATATTATATACTTCAAAAAAAATTCAGTTATTTATTAGAATAAATAGTAAAACGAGTAACCAAAACATCAGAAACATAAACTTGTACATTAACATTAACAAGTTGTTGAAATGACATCTAGTTTCTTCTTCGATAATTTTAAGAGGACTTGAAATAAAAAGAACCCTAATGCATGTCCAAATACTGCGACAATAAACACTCCAACATTAAACAACATTAATGCCAACATGACCATGTTACTGAGCCCCACACGTAAAGCGTGAACCAGTGTTTGAGCCAAACCCGATGCTAAGCCATTTGATTTCATCATAACAGAACTACAGTGAGCAAGCCATTCCACCAAGAAAGCAAGGAAGAAAACAAAAACCAGTGCCAAAACATACATGCCCATATCAGTACCTGGCCAACCTGTAAAAAGAATCAAAGCGTCTTTCCCCCCAGTAAAAAGTCATGTGCATTATCATTCTCTTACGATGCAACATTCCCACTGTTCCATTGCTGACATTCATCGTCGGTGGCATAGCCATGATCATGATGATTGTATCAATGGTTTGTTGTTTCTTGTAAATCTCAGTATTGTATTCGATAATTAAATACTCTGTGTAATAATTAATACGATATTGTATCTCGAAGAGTCTTGATAGTACAATACTGTTTTCATATAAATGTAGTACACGAGATCAAAGGGATATGTACTATCAAGACTTTTCTAGATAGCATGATATACAGTATCGTATTTTATTACCAACTATATCATATATTATTCTGATATCTTTGATGTAATTAAGAGAACATATTATAATCCGTAGAGTAAATAGAAAATACGAGATCGAAGGAATTTGGTCGTTGTGGCAGAGGTCACCTCAATTTGTTACTAACCGACAAAAAAGTTACAAAAAACTCCTTGTTCTTTAGATAAATTACAAAAGACCCCTTGTGAAATGTCGTTTAATTTATTTGACTTGATCGGGTACTTAATATTTAATTAATTTAATGGCTTATTCGTCTACCATTAAATAAGGGGTTGTTCACCAAACACTTACTCGGTAAGTGCTTACAAGTAAATTTAACACTATCATTTACTTACCGGATAAGATTTTAGTCCATCAGAACGGTATCGTATGCGACAATTTACCCGGTAAACACTTACTGTGATAAGAGTCGTCGCATTCACTTACCGGGTAAAACTCTTGGTTCTTGTCTCGCTCTTACCGGGTAAGATTCTTGATCTTTACCATATTCATCCGGTAAGGTAAAATGACTTGGTGTACACTTACCCGAGTAAGCGTTTGGTAAACGACCTCTAAATGTTTGTTTTTTTGGCTTAATTAATAAAAGGAAGGGTTGAAATAGCTTAATTGAATAAGCTATCATACGCTCTGTTGTTCATATTCAATCATCTTATTCCATATATAAATTAAAATTTGTCGATAGAAGCACCATCTTATGTTCAATCTAAATGACGATGTTTGTTTAATGTATTGTATACGATGATCATTTTAAACCTCGTCTTATCATACAGTTCTACAAAATATAGTTACACACAACAGCAAAATCAGGTTTATAGGACACTCTCAATTTCTAAGCGTCCTAATAGACCTCTTTATAAGACTTAGTTTATAGGACCAAAGAAATAAAGCGTTCTATCTAAGGGTGTTGTAATAAGTTTATATGACGCTTTTGGACGTCTTAACAAGTTTTTAAGGAAATTTTTTTAATACAAAGTGTCGCATTAACAACTTTATAGGACATTTTTGAGAAAAAGTGTCCTAAAACTCAATTTTTTTAGGACATTTGTTTTTATAGAACTGTTTTTTCAAATAATGTCCTATAAAGTTGCTAATAGGACGTTTTATATTAAAAGTGTCCCAAAAAACTTATTACGACGTCAAAAAACGTCATACAAACTTATTACAACGCCTTTAGATAAGACGCTTTATTTTTGGTCCTATAAACTAAATCTTATAAAAAGATCTATTAGGACACTTAGAAATTGAGAGTGTCCTATAAACCCGATTTTGTTGTAGTGACATTAACAATTTTCAACTATTGTTTCAACTTTTACTTAGTTTTTTGGGTAATTTTACGAAACGTACGCGTTTTCTAATCTTACCCAAAAAACTAAGTAACTTGTAAAGCTTACCCAAAAAAATCTTACCCGGTAAATAAGTTTTTTAATCTTACCCAATTTAATGTCATGTTACATTTTTTTTTACTACTGTTTCCCTAAATTGGGTAAGATTAGAAAACGATGCATATAACACTTTTAATAGTTGAAACAAAGACTTTTACCATGGTTAACGCTTACCAAGATAAATTGTTGCATACGATGCATTTTAATGAATAAAATCTTACTCGGTAAATAAGCGATAATGTTGAATTTTACCGGTAAGTGCTTACCGAGTAAGTGTTTAGGTCATAAGTGAGAAGAATAAGAGAGTCATTTTTATTTTTAATCTATAAATTCTGAAATTAAATATCCATTTTTGAAATTAACAAGGGGATTTTACTAAGATCAAAGGTTTCTTGACTACCATCAAGACGATAGAATCAAACCAAACAAACCCTGTAATGAATCATGTGAAGAACCATCATTTTGCACTGCTTTTTTAACCATTTCCTTCATTTCACCTACTTTCAATCTCATTTCCTTCCCTTCTTCATCCACCATTACTCTTTTTACCATGTTTTCCATCTCCCCTCTCTCCAAAACCTCCAACTCCAACCCTATCTTCCATACGTAACTCACGTATCGTGCGTTCACCATCTGGTCTACAATAAACGGTTGGCATATCAACGGAACCCCTTCTGAAATACTTTCCAATGTCGAGTTCCAACCACAATGACTCCAAAATCCACCAACCGCCCAATGCGCCAACACTTCCTTCTGAGGTGCCCATTTCACAATTACACCTCGTCCGTCTGTTTCTTCTCTAAAACCCTCTGGCAAGAACTCGGTCCATTCAAAGTCGCAGACTGAACCAGGTCTAACCGCCCATAGGAATGGCTGGTTACTTTTGGCTAGACCCCATGCCATCTCGATCATCACTTTTGCATCCAAGGTGGCTAAGCTTCCGAAGCTTACATAGATCACGGATTTAGGAGCTCTCTTATCTAGCCAACGGATGCAACTTGTGTCCTCTTCAAGAAAACTAATAGGTGGACTTGGTGTTACTTTGTGCAGAGGTCCAACCGCAAAGATTGGAACTTGGTGGTGTTCATGGGTTTGGTATAACAGTTCATGTTCGAGAAATTGAACAGTGTTGCAAATAATAGCCGAGGGGCGGGGCTCTTGGCTGAAAATAGCAACCCGTTGGTTCCAATCTTCGATAGGCGATTTACAATAAGGCAGATCTTTGTACCTGAGGGGATGATGATCTGGTATCATATCCTGCATCACAAAATCTTTTCAACAAATGGGACTTACCATTAGTTCATATCCTTATAGTCTATGGTGCTTTTGCTTGACAATTAAAGATAAATTGAAGAATATAACCACAAGGGTAATGTCTGATTGGTTTGTCAAAAGTACTAGGAGATCTCAAGTTTAAATCCAAGGATAAATAATAATCCCTTTGTGGCCACGGAGGTTCAAATACGATGACTCCGGGCTATCTGCGAAGCAGGTGGTTGTCCTGGGATTAGTCGGCTCACATAACGGGTTAAATATCCAGGTTAATAAAAAAAAATAAACTTCACATTTTGAACAGGACCAACAGTAAAATTCACTCTAGATACATTTATTTAAATTTCAATTTCTATATATATTATATTAAGTTTTATATTAATTCATAATATTCAATCTTCAACTTTTATATTTGTTCTCAGGAGACCACTTGCTTTGCATAGCTCAGAATCACAGCATTTGATCCTCCATGGCTAGTGGATTTTTATTTTTTCTTGGAATTAAAACTGAGACCTCCAGATACTTTTGATCGGAGCCAGCTTAATTCAATTTTTTCTATACAATATTAAAATATATACCTTGTTCAAGAAACTTTCCTCGTGGATGCAGCTCCTGACGAACAAGACAAGCCCAAAAGTATGCTGCACTGCAACTGCGAAACAGGATGCCCACAAGATTCAGATCCATGGCAACAGATCCTGCAAAGAACATAAGGTGATCGTAGATGATAACCACTGATTTACTTTTCTCTCCTTGCCTTTGATCTTCACTCATCAATCGAGTCAGATGTTGATGGAACGATGGTCGGCAGTTGGTGTTTAGATCGCTGATGAAACGAGTGAAGCTTGAGGAGGAATCAATGGCGGATAAGTTATCAGAAAGAGGGAGGAAGATGAAGTTGGGATGGTTAGATGGGTCAGGAGGGTTTAACTTGCAGTGAGCAATGGCTATGGAGAAGCCTTTAGCATGAAGGGCAGTGGCAAGCTGGAGAGTTGGAGTCATGTGGCCATGAAATGGAGGTACTGTTAGAACCACCAACGGCCACCGTCTTCGGCCTTCTTCTTCCATCTCTCTCTCTCTCCCTCCGGTGACACACTTTTCAAGATAAAAAGTCTATGGAGACAAAACTGAAGTCAGGTTAAACCTTTAAACCTATAAAAAATACTATGGATATTAAACAATTAATTATATTATTAAAATATTATTAAAAAATAATTGTACAATGCAGTAAGATAAATATTTATTTTAATATTTTATTTTATTTTTGTCTTTCTTGATATAATACTGTTTATGTAATTTTGAGAAAGATAATGTTTTTATCTTTGAAAAAAAATAAATTTGAAGACATCGATATTAATATTAAATTAACTATTTAAAAGTTACTGTTTTTTATATAATTTATTTTTTATTATAATTTAATTTAAGTCAAATAGTGAAGTAATTTATTTTTGGCTTAAGAATGAATTTTTTATAAAGATAATGGTTTGGTTAAAATTTAATAATTATCCTAATTATATTTTAGATTTTTTATATTTTAAAATGAGATGTTTATCATTTATTTGATTATGTTCAGGGGCGGAACACAAACTTTCCAACCGTAGGGGCCGGACCTAATATATTATATATTTTAAAGGTACCAAAAATACACTGTCCATATTCAAACAAGGAAAACATTCAAGATGGTTACGGAAAACATGGTTTAGTAAAACCAGACAAATGTAACCCACTTGGGGGAATACAACAGGAAGTGAATACCTTTTCACCTTTGGCTTGTCGAACTAGACTTGAGGAAGAGAACTAAACAAATTTGAGGAAGAGAACTAAAGTCCTAGTTCAGATTCTTGTGAGTTAAAAGAGGTTACAAAGAAGGAATTGTTCCAAAAATGGCCAGGTCATCTAGATGAAACCACAACTTCTGGTCGTTTGAAGTTCGATTCATGGAAGTGGCCTAAAAATAAAAGGACATTGTGAAATATGAGACAAAATGCAAAATTGTCAAAAACCTTTTATGTCCTATCTTCAGTACTTGGAAGTGTTGGTCCCAAAAGGGTCTACAAGAATACTAAACAGGTTGTAGAAGGGGGGGGATGAATACAAACACAATTTTCAAATTTAAAATATATATTGATAAAGAAGATCAATACAGATTTTACAAGATTGTTTGCGGAAAGATAAGTTGAGAGAAACCTATCTAAACAACCTTTAGATACACACAACGATTAGCAAAATATAAGAAAAGATATTGCTAGGGGGTTCTTTTACTTAAGCTGAAAGAAGCTTAAAGTAAGAATGAGTAAGAGAGTGATGCGCACTCTGCATAGAGAAGAAAACACTTCTATTTATACCCAGTGCATTAAATGTTCATTTAATGCAGTATGGTAGGTTTAGAGTGCGTGTCAAGCCTTAAAAGGAAGGCTTGTCCTTTGTTACAGTAAATAGTACAAAAGCACTATTTATGAACAGACATCCTTACCTAAAGATGATGGACAAAGAGTCGACTAATCGGCTCCGTACCGTACTATCTTTGGTAAGGGTATGGGTTTGTCCTTTTGTGTGTGCAAGGACAAAACAACAACAATCGTGCTAAACAAGCTTCCTTTGATCGCTGAATGCTGGAATGACCTGAAGGTCTCATCATCATTCGCTGAAGCTAGAGCAGTCTTCACACATAGCTAGACGGGCTTGTAATCACTGAATACCGCTTCAGATCACGTACGCGCCAGTCTCTAATCTTCAGTTTCAGTCTTCGACGTTTGCTGAAGGATCTTTGGTGTGAGTGTTGTTTTCTTGAAGTATCGTTGTCTCTGAATGAATTTCAAAACAAGTTCATCAGCGATCACTGAACAAGCTCAGTGTATGATCGCTGGAACTGAAATTACAGATACATAAATACATCGAAAGGAAAARGGGATTATCAACAAATCAATGAGAGAGAGGATCAACAGGAAGTGCCAATGGGAACTCAGTTATGCGTCCCAGTGAGACTGAAGGGAGCTTCAGAGAAGCTTTTTCGATGTCGAGTGTAAAGAGAAAAGCTTGTTCCAGTTCCAAATACAGGTCAGCGTCTAGAAATAATCTTTTGGAAGAAATGCCAATTCAGAAATCTGGCCAACCAAGTTTAGCAGATGTTACTAACACCAAACCTGATTTGATGAGCATAAAGATGATTCCAAAAGCTTTTGATCTATCTGGAGCCTCATCTCAGTCTACAAAGCTAATTGATGGGGGCAGGAAACAGGAAGCAACTGCGCAAGAAAAACTCGGCAAGTTCCTCCCTCCAAAACGAGACTGCGAGATTGGGATTTGCAGAATCTCTTCCTGATTTTAGTGAATTTCAACCAATTTCAAATACCAACCAAAGGCATCTCTAAATAACCAATTTCAGCCACATTACCACATATCACATATGATATAACCATTAAATCACCACATAATCAGTAAATCACCATATAAGATATAACCAATTTCAATAAACTTAGACCTAATAATAACCTAAATCAGTAAATCACCACTTCTGGGTTTTGATTTCAAAACAGAAAGTGCATTTAGAGGCCAGAGTACACAGCAAAGTAAGGAACTGAGAATAGCAGAAGTGAGAGAACAGAGAAGGACGGACTTACCGGGAGGCTGGAGTTACCGTGGCCGGCTGGCCGTCGACCGTCGAGGCCCGAGTGCCGCCTCCGACTCCGCCTGCGTCTACGCTGGTCGGTGCGCAGCCTGCGCTCTCGCCGTCTCGCGTCTCGCCTACGCCTAGTCTGCCGTCTACGCTGGTCAGTGCCGTCACGCCGTGGTCACCCTCCTCGACTCCTCGTCGGCTCGTCCTCACACAGGCTGCTCGCGCTCCGTCGCTCGCCTCTCGGGATTGAAGGAGGAGGCCGGTTGAAATTTTTGGGGTTCTACAACCTAATGGATTACACTATGGAGGGTTAATTGGGAAAAAAATCACAGGGGCCAGGGCCCCTATAGGCCCCTTAGGCGGTCCGCTCCTGATTATGTTTATCAACAGTTAGTTACACAAATTCAAACATGAGGCTTTAATAAGTTGTACTTATGCATAATTTACTTATAATCTTGAATTTTAAGTAATATACATAAAAATTGGTTTTTAAGAGTTTTTATCAAATACTTTATAATATAGTAAGATATATAGTTTATAAAAATATTATTTTCACTTGAAACATTCAATTTCATCGACAGGGTAAAAATAAACCATATCTTTCGTAAATAACAATTTTTTTTAATTACATAATATTCATATACGACAAATATAACAAATAAACTCACACATCTTCCTCACCTTTGGTGAAGTTTGAACCCCAGACCTCCTAGGAGGCCAGAGACTACGATACCACTAGAGTCTGAGATTAGTCGGCTCACATAACGAGTTAGATATGTATGTTAATAAAAAAACAATTTTTTGAAGAAATATTTAAATTTCAAGATTTTCATATCATCTCTCGTACTTTCTCTATTTTAGAGAAGAACAAAAATTTCCAAATTTCTATTTTGGAAAGTGTATTGGAGATTCTTTTAAGAGTATCTTCAAAAGATTCTCTTAAAATAGAGAACAAAAAGTTATAATCTAAAAATAAATTACATTTATTTTTAACAGATTCTTTATTTTGAAGAATCCAACATTAATTATAATATTAAAATATTTTATTTATTTATTAAAATATTCTTTCTTTTTTTAAATATTTATCATCAAAGTTTCTAAAAGCATGTTGAAAATGAAAAGTACAACTCATCAGTTAAGACAAAGACCCTTGTTTACATTTGGGTAGATTTCATTGTAGAAGCTTTGTTTTGTTGTGAAAGTTAGGACTTAGGAACAGTGGTAAGGAATTGAATCCATCAATTTCTTATCGGAAATAAAAAGAGTGGAGTCAAAAACCATATAACAATGTATTTTTTTAAAATTTAATATAATAAAAATAATAATATTCATGATTAACACATTCCACAGTAAAAATGTATCAACTTCTTATAATTACAAAAAAACAATAAAAATAAAAAATTATGATTAGTTAAATGAGGTTTGTACTAGGGGTGAGCATAGGCGGGTACCCGTCTTATTTGACAGGAACCGGCGGCTCTTGAGATATTGGAACCGGAACCGTTTAGAGCGGTTCTTGAATTTTTAGAATCGGAACCGCTCCAGTTCCGGGTACCCGCTTCTGAAATATTAAAATTTTGTTATTTAGAAATAAAAAATAAAACATTACCAAAACACTAATAAATAAACAAGAATACAAATTATACGGAATAATGGTTAAAAATATTGTTTAACGATTACAAACCATAATAGACTAATAGTAAATGTTGAAAGTTTAACAATTACATACTATAATTGGAAAGATTCAAAATTTAACGATTACATACTACGAATCAAATTAAAGACACAATTTGAAAAAATATGAATCATTTTATCTCAAATTATAAATCTAGAGTTTTAAGTTCTTGACCTAATTTAATCTAGTATTAAAAAAATTAATTATTTTTTTAATTGAAAAATACCGGGTACCTGGTCCAGGAACCGGTCCCAACTGGTAACGGTTCCGAAAAATTGAGAACCAGAACCGGAACCATTCTCAATCGATTCCGTATTTTAAGAACCGGAACCACTCATATCGGTTCTGGTTCCGGAACCGGCAGTTCCAAGGCAGTTCCGGTTCCGCAAGTGGGTACCCGGTTCCGCTGCTCACCCCTAGTTTGTACAAATAACATGGTTTGCAAAGTAAACCTCTTATATATATATATATATATATATATACTTGGGATCATGTGAGACCAAGTGTTTTTCGTGAGACCCGTAAGACTAATTCTCAACCCATGGATTAGATATACAATCGTCAGATTTTAACATTCATAAACGCCACGAGACTTCTCAATAATCACAAAATTGTCACCGTGCAATTTTAGACCGTTAGATCATTAACTTATAAAGTTGATCAATGAATATAAATTGGTCTTACGGGTCTCACGAAAACCTCTTGGTCTCATGTGAACCCAACCCTATATATATATATATATATATATATATATTATGATTTGTAAGGGTTATATGTTATTGTTAATGAATGTTTTAATTTTTTATTGTTTATTATTTGTAGAAATTTTCACCTTCGATGGAAGTATTTTTCTTCCGTAATTTTTTTCAAGTAACAATTTTTATGTTTTTATTTTATGCTTCACGTTTTATATGTTGTTGATGAACGTTTTATTTTCCAGAATTTCTTTCTCCTTCGTTATCGTTCTTTTTCCATCAAAATTTTCAAATAAGATTCATGCTTTATGTGTATTATATACGCTTGTTAATGGGATTTTGGTTTTTTTCTAAAATTTCATTACAATTGTTCTTTACAAGTCATACATTCCAGGTAGTGATGGTCAAACCGGCCCAGGAACGTCAGATGACCGGTTATAGGATCGCCGACCGAGACCATTTATAGTTTTGGAGGGTTTTGAGGGACTGGCCCGACCGGAACTGGTTATGCTGACCCGTTTTTAAAAAGTAGCCGTTTTTTAAAATATAACCGTTATATGACCGTTTATGACCCTTTTTTTGGGTCTTTTTGTCTTCTAAACCCTATATATAAGTGTAATGATTGAAGGATTTACATACCAATTTACAAAATGCAAAAAACGTTCACAATTCTTAGTTTCTCGCTATATTTTGTGACTTCGACTTGTATTTTTAAAGTGTATTTAAGTTACCAAACTACAAATTTTATAATGTATTAAAGTATATTTGAGTGACCCAATTACAAATTTTGTTTTCCGATAGATAGCAATCAATTTTATAGTGTGATTTATGTGGGTTTTTTTTTTTTAATTATGTTTTTGTTATGAATTCCCTTTTTTTTTTATCTTATATGTTTTTTGTAGTTTTTTTTTTTATTTTTCCTGTGAGTTGCAATCATCTACGAATATTCCATCAAACTAAATGACCTTTTATCCTTTGCTCCCAAATTTTTAGCAGCCGTTTATCAAATACTTACCTATTAAACAATTATCGGTAAAATTTAACACTATCATTTACTTATCGAGTAAGATTTTAGTCAACAAAAACAACATCATATGCAACAATTTTACCCCGGTAAACACTAATTGTGGTAAAAGCCATTGCCCTCACTTACTGAGTAAGACTCTCGATTCTTGCCTCGCTTTTAGTAGGTAAGAGTTTTGGTCCTTGCCATATTCATTCGATAAGGTAATCTAACTTGATAAACGCTTACCCGAGTTTAGGGAGATAAAATGCTTCTTGACATGATAAAATCCACCAAACCCTCCAATGACTCATGGGAAGAACCTCCATTTTGCACTGCATCTTTAACCATTTCACTCATTTCACCTGCTCTCATCCTCATTTCCTTCCCTTCTTCATTCACCATAACTCTTCTGATCATACTTTCCATCTCTCCTCTCTCCAAAACCTCCAACTCCACCCCGATCTTCCATACGTAACTCACGTATCGTGCGTTCACCCCTTGGTCTACATTAAACGGTTGGCATATCATCGGAACCCCCTCTGAAATACTCTCCAACGTCGAATTCCAACCACAATGACTCCAAAATCCACCGACTGCCGAATGCGCCAAAACTTCCTTTTGGGGTGCCCATTTCACGATTAGACTTCGCTCTCTTGTTTCTTCTCTAAAACCCTCCGGAAAGAACTCAGTCCATTCAGCGTCGCTGACTGAACCAGGTCTAACCGCCCATAGGAACCGCTGGTTACTGTTGGCTAGACCCCATGCCATCTCGGCTAGCACTTTTACGTCTAAGGTAACTAGGCTTCCGAAGCTGACATAAATCACGGATTTGGGAGCTTGTTTATCCAGCCAGCTGATGCAACTGGTGTCTGCTTCAAGAAAACTAGTAGGTGGACTTGGTGTTATCTTGTGCAGAGGCCCGACTGCGAAGACTGGAACCTGGTAATGCTGGTGGATTTGAGATAACGCTTCGTGTTCGAGAAATTTGACAGTGTTCCAGATAACCGCGCAGGGGTTGCGTTGTTGGCTGAAGATAGCAACCAGTTGGTGCCAATCTTCGATCGGTGATTTCGAAAATGGCAGATCTTTATACCTGAGGGGATGTAGGTCTGGTACCATGTCCTGCATCGCAAAATCTTTTCCGCAAATGGGAGTTTTCATTAGTTCATATCCTTTGAAGTTTATGGTGCGCTTGCTTGCTAAATGAAGATGAATTGCTATATATCAACTGTGTTGTGATATACAGTCTCTTAACAGTTTGCGAGTGTGAGTTATAAGCGTTTTTCAAGTCCGGTTTGAGCTTGGCTCCAAAGGTCAAAAGTACCGGGAGGTCCCAGGTTCAAATCTAAGGAGGAACAAAAATCCCCTTTGTGGCCAAGAAGGTTCAAATACGGTGACTCTGGACTATTTGCAAAGCAGGTGGTCGTCTTGAGATTAGTCGGCTCGCATAGCTGGTTGGATATCCAGGTTAATCAAAAATATGTATATCTATACTATCTTATAAAGCATTTGGCTAAAACTCTTAAAAACTCTTAAAACTCTTAAAAACTCTTAAAACTCTTAAAAACTCTTAACAATCTTAAAAACTCTTAAACCTGTTCATCCCTAAACGATTTCATCCATATCCGATTTCATCTCATATCTGAATTCGTGTAACTAAATGCAGATAAACACAATCAAATACAGAATAAACATCTCAT